GAGGGAAAGCTCTCGTGTCTCTTATAAGGGCCCTAATCCCACTCATAAGGGCTCTGCCCTCCTGACCTGAGCACTTCCCAAAGGCCCCACCTCCTAAAACCATCGCATTAGGGGTGAGGTTTCAACAGAATAATTTGGGGAAGACATAAGTGTTCAGTCTATGGCCCTGGGCATTGCTTGAGGAGGACCTTCGACCTCCTGACAGGACTAGGAACTGGAGGGAGCAGGAGGAGCCTCGCACCGCTGGTGAGGAAAACCCCTCTGAGCACAGTGAGAAAAGGGGAAGCCTGTCTTCTGGCTGCTCAAGAAGCTGGGCAGTGAAGCCAGACCACAGGAAGGCTCTGCTGGGCCCAGGGACAGGCGCACCTGAGGCAGCGTGGCATGGTGGCTTTGAGCAGGGTTGGGTCCTGGTTCTGGCTTTGACTCATGGCTCTGCCACTTCCTGGTTGCATGTCCCCGGGAAGTGACTTCGCTGGTTCCTCTACTTTATAGAGCTGATATGAGGACAAAATGCATGAATGCAAGCCAGGCAATTAACACAGAGCTGGCAGAGGCTCAGCCATAGGGCTGTGATGAGTCTCGCCCGGTGGAGATGGCGCCACCTGGCTCCGCTTTCTCTCCCTTCTCTGGCGTAGTGTTTGTGCAGGGTGCCGAGGCACCAGGAGGGGCCTTCCCTGCCTGCCCCTGTAGCCAGCCATCTTCTGGCTTTGCAGTGGTGAGAAGGGGGAGGTGGCTCTGGATTCCTTGCCAGCAGGCGTCCCACACAGGTGAGGTCCTGGGGGAACATGGCTTGAACCCCAGTCACCTGTGCAGCCTCCGGATTCAGCTGGTCCTTAGCCCTCACCCATCTCATCTGACTGACCTGTCAACGGAAGAAATGTGCAAACCTAGAAAATTCTTCTAAGAGTTTACTTGAGCCAAACTGAGACATATGTCGGGGAGCAAGCTCTCAAATGCTCCGGAGAGTAACAGTTTTACGCTTTGTGCACTTGAAATTAAGGAGGGAAGATAAGGAAGGTTACATGAGGATGAGGGGGAGCCAGATGGGGATCAGACTGTAGGGTTATGTACTTTCTTGCGGGGCTTACGTCTGGAGGGGCATTACTTCCAGCATTTCAGTGGTGGTTTAGCCCAGATGCACAAGAACAGTGGACAGGGTTGGCTTAAAAACCTTTCACTAAAGAAGGTATATCCCTGGGGCCTGACCACCCACCATGACCTGCCCAGTTTGGAATTTATAATCAGGTCACCCTGTGAGATTACTTTCCATAGAGCCCGTTCTTTTCCACCCACAGACCAATGTCGGGTGACAAGCCTACTCCATGGGCCTGCTCTCAGCAGACCCTCACAGCGTAATTTACAATAACGAACTGGGAACGATCTGAACATTCAAGAATTACAATAGAAGTGACATGTTTGAGGGCTCAGTTCTCCATACTGAATTTATGAATTCATCGGACCCTCACAACTGTATGAGGGAGGCGTTGTCATCACCCCAGTTTACAGCCAAGGGAACTGAGGCACAGTCGCAGCATTAACAAGGGTTAGGGTGGGACAGGAAGGCGCTCATCCCTGACTGCAGGTCCAGCGCTCCTTGCACACGTGGGTGGCTCAGGTTTGCTTTGATCTCTGTACTTGAGGCAGATGGTGTCCTTTGGTCCAGGGGGCTCAGTCAGTGCCAGATAAGCTGGGAATGGGCTTACGTTGGGGACACCATGACTAGGGCCCCGACCTTCCGAAGCTGAAGCCCCCCTCTTTCTCCATATAGAGCCCTCACCTGCCTCAGCGTGCCAGCACCCTCCCTCTGCCTTCCTCAGCCATGGTCTGGAAGAAACTGGGCTCCGGAAACTTCTCCAGCTGCCCTAACGGCTCCCGCCAGTGGATATGGGACGTGTTCGGTGAATGTGCCCAGGACGGCTGGGACGAGGCCAGCGTGGGCCTGGGCTTAGTCTCCATTCTCTGCTTCGCAGCATCTACCTTCCCGTGAGTAGTGCCAGGGTGGCAGGACCGTGTTTAACCTCGTGAGGAGCTACTAGACGGTTTGCCGAAGCAGTCACACCATTTCACATCCTCACCAGCGCTGTAGAGAGGACCCACTTTTCCCGCATTCTCATCAGCACTTGGCATTTTCTGTCTTTATTATAGCCCTCCCAGCAGGCGGAAGTGGTAGTTTCGATTCATATTTTCCTGGGGAGTAATGATGTTAAATGGCCTCTCATGTGCTTATTGGCCAGCTCTGTGTCTTCTTCGGTAAGAGGTCTGTTCAGCTCCTTTGCATTGGATTGTCTTTTTATTGTTGAGGTATAAGAGCTCTTTATATAGTCTATGTCGACGTAAGAATGTCCAAACCTGTAGAGAATTTTCAGAAGAGTTTATTTGAGCTGAACTGATGACATATGCCGTGAAGCAAGATCTGAAACACTCCGCAGTTTTGCAGCTTCTTTCATACATTTGAAATTAAGGAGGAGATGGGAGGAAGCCTACAAGAAGATGGGAGAGAGCAAGCCAGGGACTGGAGCACAGGGTGGTTAACAAGATTATGTGCTCTGATTCGGGTGGTTGTTTCAAAGGTGTGTTAACCTAGATACGCACACACACACACACAAATGAATCTTGCTTAAAGCAAAGATAAGCCTTCTGCTAGAAAAGTTACATGTCTGGTGCATGACTACCCATCATGACCTGCCTAGTTAAACGTTTATGATCAGATCGCCCTGTGAGGTTACTGTCCATAGAACCTCTTTCATCCACCTTCACATGACTTGCAAATATTTTCTCCTATTCTCTGGGTTGTCTTTTCACTTTCTTGGTGTCCTTGGAAGCACAAAAGTGCTGTACTAGGTATGACACAAGTAAATAAAACAGATACTGCCCTGTTCCATGCAGAGCTTCCATTCTGGCACCTTTAAAGGACACCCAGGGAGGCACAGGGAAGATGGCCTGGAGGAGAAAGGCCATCCAGCAAGCGGTGATGTCAGGGGCCATTGGAGAGGCCCTAGGAGGCAGAGTGGACAGGTCTGGTGACTGATGGAGGCAGAGGGAGAGAGACTCATCTGGAGAGCTTCCCAGACCCATCTGAGGAGCTGGCTGAGGCTTCTCCTTCCTGCCATGGCATAGCGCTGGCCCTGCCTGGGTCTGGCTGATTAACCAGCAAGGGGAGTCAAAGGCCTAGGAGAGAGCCCCAAGTGACGGCAGGAATGGCAGCCAACTTTCTGCTCCTTAGGACCCACTCTTTCCTGGGTGTTACAAAATTATTTTACCTGCAATTTCTGGAGATATGTCAGGTCACAGTATCCCGAAGGAGCTTTGTGGGACGGCATAAACCTTCATTAAGGGCCTTCTCAGCAACAGGCCTGTGCTGGGCACTGTCCCTACCCCCAGGAAGCTTGAGTCCAGGAGAGAGACCCAGGTGCCAAGTGTTACAAAGGATGCTGGTGAGCTCACATCAAGGGAGGCCCTGAGGAGGAACTGGTATTTCCTGAACAGTGACAGATGACTAGGAGGGGTGGGCGGACCATCTGTAAGCGAAGAGTTCAGAGGAAGAGAAAGCAACCCTTGTGGAGCAAGACTGCCTCCCAGACTCCCCAGCTGCACGACCTGACTGGCTCAGCCCCCAGGAAGGATGGGTTCTGACCACATGGGGGACTGTGAGGACGGAATGAGTTTGTACACACAAAGGGCTCAGAGCTATGCCTGAGACCCCATAGCCACCATCCACGTTGGGCCCATGCTGAGACCTGGCCACAGGTCCAAAGAGAGGGTCCCAGTACCAAGGACCTTGGGGAAAACAGCCAAGGTGCTGACTACCCTGGCTTTGTACTGGAGAGCCCCGGGAGCCACAGCCCTGCCCCAGGGAGATAACAGCTGTGGTTCAGCCGTCATCTTATCTTCACCCGTGCCTGAAGATAGGGCAGTGGCAGTGCCCAGCCTTGGGCTTGCAGCCACCACCACCATCCTGTTTTCAAACTCCCTACCCCCTTCGTATGAGAGAGAATCTAGGGTCCCCAGGGTGCTGTGGAGGAGAGTGTGAGCAACGCTCTGCTGTCTCTGGAAAGATGCACACTCAGCATGTTCCTGGGTTGGACGGGATTCTCCCTGGTAAGAACCCCCAAAGGGCAAAGAAAGGCTCATGAGGACCCTGTGGTGGTCTCATCTGGGGGCTGTTCCCTTGCTGACCCTCCAAGGCAATGCCACAGCCCTGGGCCCCTGAGCCTGCATCTCCCTCTGTGCCGCAGACAGTACATCAAGGCCTGCAAGATGGGCAACATGGACCAGGCCCTGTCCCTGTGGTTTCTTCTGGGCTGGATTGGTGGCGACTCCTGCAACCTCATCGGCTCTTTCCTTGCTGACCAGCTGCCCCTGCAGGTGGGCTAGCCCCGGGCAGGGTGGGCTAACTGGGATAGCCATGGCAGAGGCTCTGGGGCCTCCCACTGGAGGCCTGGGGTCCAGAATCCTGGCCTGTTGTTCCGTCTTATGAGGGCCCCACGCTCTAGAGAGAGCCCTGTGCCCTGCCATGCAGCATGACAATGGGCTAGTCACTGCCCTTCTCTGTGCCTCAGTTTCCCCTCTGCAAAATGACCACATCAAACCAGAAGATCTCTGACATCTTCACCTCTAAGGTGCTGTGATCCTGATGGAGCTTGGAGGGGGGTGGTTAGAAGAGGAAAGTTTTCCTCTGAGAGGCCCAGGAGCCTCCTGTGGGTAGGCAGAGCTGAGATGCCCAATCAGGAACCCATTGTCTCCCCAAGGGGACTGTGAAGTCGTAAGTGCACCTGTATCAGGCCAGACTAGATCCCACACTTAATCTCTGTGTCCCATTTTGTCCTGACAAGAGGAGCTAGTCAGACATTTCCTCCATCTGCCTGGGCCAACACTTTATTTACCTGATCTCTAGTTCTGTCAGGTAGGAACTGTGATTCCCCTTTCCAGATGAGCAGACAGAAGCTCAGAGAGGTGAAGCGACTTGCTCAGGGTCACCCCGCTGGGATGTGAGAGCGCTGCCTCAGTGTCAGGGCGCTGTCAGTCCCGAGCCTGGGACTGAGCCAGAGCCCCTGCTTCCCCTGCAGACCTACACGGCGGTGTATTACGTCCTGGCAGACCTGGTCATGCTGTCCCTGTACTTTCATTACAAGTATAAGAACCGCCCCTCTCTCTGTGAGTACGGTAGTCCCTCTGTGTCGGGCACTCCGGGGACAGCCAGGAGTTTGGAAGGAAGTGGGTGGCCCATTGCTGGGTGATAAACCTCAGAAAGGCTTCCTTGGGTCTTATCTGCGAGCCTGAGTGCTGATCAGCCAAGATAGAGACCAAGGGCAATGAGCACAACCGGGCAAGACCACAGGGCTTCCTTTCACTCAAATTCTTATTCAGCAAACATGGCTTCATCTTCTCTGTGCCTGGCCCTGGGCTTGGAGCTGGGGAAACAGGCACAGGGCACACAGACCATCGCTCCCTTTGAGGATTCCGAAGAGGCAGCAGCCGAGGTCAGAGCGAGGGCTATATGAGATGTGGCCTGAGGCACTGCTTTCAGTAACCCCCCTCTGGCCTCCACTGCCCTCCTCATATCGCTTTTATAACCCCAAGAGAAGGACAGTACTATTACACCCCTTCTACAGAGGAGGAATTAAAGCTCAGCGATGTTAGGTCACTTGCCCAAGGTCACACAGCCACTGAGGGGCAATGCCATGACTCCAATCCCGGTGTGCCTACCGCCATGCAGATACCTAACTGCCGCTTCCTTCCTGCCTCACGTTCAGTGTCTGCCCCCATCAACTCCGTGCTCTTGTTCACTTTGGGACTGGCCTGTGCCACCCCGCTGCTGAGCAGCATTGCCTCCAAGGCTGCCCCGCAGGAGGTCTTCAGGGGGCGGAAGCTCCTGTCTGTGGAGCCAGGCAATAAGGTGAGGTGAGGGCCTGTAATGGTAGGGTGGGGTGGGAGGCATGGCCTCCTGAGGGGGAGGGTGGGTTGCCCAGTAGGAGGGAGCTCGGGGGTCTCCCCCTGCCCCTCCAGCCCCTGCTAGGCACTGAGCGCTCCCCTCTGCCTTCTCAGCCCTTCACTCGGCAGGAAATCATTGGCTTTGTCATCGGCTCCATCTCCAGCGTACTGTACCTGTTCTCCCGGCTGCCTCAGATCCGCACCAACGTGAGCCTTGAGCAGGGTGGGGCCGAGTGGGAGAGAAGAGCTGGCCTGGCCGCTCGGTCCTCTGGGTTGAGTAGCGCGGTGCAGGGATCTGGGTCCATACTCACTGTTGGCTTAGGCGACTTAATCCAATTCTCTGAGCCTCGGTTTGTGCCTCCGGAAGATGGGCATGATGATGCCTGCCATCCAGGGGTCCGTGTGACCTGTGTGAGGATTAGGGAAGTCAGAGGTCAGGTGAAGGGAGGGGCTGAGCTTAGAGGCCTCAGAGGAGAGGAGAAGGTGGGGAATCGGATGGGGGTGGGGCTGGAGAGCAGGGCATCATGGGCAGCGGGCATAATGCAGCATGGTCTCCTGTGATGCACATAGTGAAAAGGCAGGCTAAGACTCCATGCAGTGTGACGGGGAAGATGGCTGCGTGGACAGTCACAATCCAGAGTGACAGGCCCTATTTAAGGTCTCTGACCTCAACTCCCTCACTCCAGTTCCTGCGGAAGTCAACCCAGGGAATCTCCTACTCGCTGTTCGCCTTGGTGATGCTGGGGAACACGCTGTATGGGCTGAGTGTGCTGCTCAAGAACCCCGAGGTGGGCCAGAGCGAGGGCAGCTACGTGCTGCACCACCTGCCCTGGCTCGTGGGCAGCCTGGGCGTGCTGCTGCTTGACACCATTGTATCCTTCAGGGCAGGCGGGGCGGGGGGGGCTGGCAGGCAGCCTCTGTCTGCTCACAGCGTCCACATCCACCCATCCACCCACCCATCCACCCACCCATCCATCCATCCACCCATCCACCCACCCATTCATCCATCCACCCATCCATTCATCCATCCACCCATCCATTCATCCATCCACCCACCCATCCATCCACCCACCCATCCACCCACCCATTCATCCATCCACCCATCCATTCATCCATCCACCCATCCATTCATCCATCCACCCAGAGTCACCTGGGTGCCATGCATCCTGCCAGACACTGGGTCCAGTGAGCAAGAACAGGATGGCCTTGCCTCAGGAAGCTTATAGCTCAGTGGGGTGGCAAATAGGATGCGCGTAATTATAAATAATTACTTCATTGCAGTGACACCAAGGGCCACAGAGAAAAACTGCTGTCATGCTTTGAAGGCTCCACAGAGGCCTCCATGGGGGCCATTTATACTGTGCCCTGAAGGAGGTTAGTCATGCAAAGGCTAGAGGGATGTTCCCAGCTTGGTGCAAAGGCCCTGAGGAACAGGGAAAATCGGGCCATGCAGGCCTGAGGAATGAAAGCTGGAACATGGAGACATACCTGAGTTAGAGTCAGAAAACTTTGGGGTCAAATTCTGGCTCCACTCCATAGCTGTGTGACACAGGGCAAACCGTTAACCTCTCTGTGCTTCTGTATCTTCATCTGCATGGTAGAGGTCACAGTCACTGTCTCACCAAGATAATGGGGTGATTACATAAGGTAAGGCATCCGGAAGTGCTGCACACGCCCAAAGCAGCGAGTGCTCAGTGTGTTTGCTAAACAATGGAATGGAGCCTTACTTGGATCTCGTTTGGGAGAAAGTAAACATGGCCCTTGTGTCAACATCTGCTGAGTCCCTGCTGGGTGCAAGGAGAGAAAAGTTTAAGCTCACCTGGAACTAATATAAAATATTGAATGTCAAAGGAAAGCTTAAGCTCCAGTGCCTTCAAATGGCCCCAGCCACCTAACGAAACTCCCAGGATGGTACAGGGTGGAAGGAAGGCAAAATCATGGGGCTGGAGTTCGGGGGACTGCCTGGGGGAGGAAGACCCCCGTCTGGGCTTGGAAGAGGAAGTTGGACCAGGGACTGAGGAGCGGGAAGGCATTCAGGGTGGAAGGTGTGGTCTGAGCAGAGGCTGGGATGCCATGGCTGGCCCTCGCCATGGGAAGAGGGAAGCAGCTCTGGATGGAGCCATGGGCCCCCAGAGGCAGATCCAACCCAGTCTGTGCTTGGTTTGGCCTTGACTTCAGCCCCTCAGATCTCCGTACAGTTCGTGGTGTACAGGAACGCCACCACGTCCCCAGAGCACCAGCCACTCCTCCCAGGCTGACCAGGACCCAGGTCAAGCCCACGTGACCAGGATCTCCAGACGCCACACCAGGAAAAGAGAAGTGTGGGCAGCCACAGCGCTGCGGACCCTGGACCAGGCTGTGGAGGAAGCCGGGGTGGGGGCCTGGCACTCCTGACCCAGCGGCCTACCCCCACGCCTCCAAAACCTCCTGGGCTGGGCTGACTTCCTCAGGAGCAGCCCTGACTGACTCAGGAGCAAGACTGCCCCTAGGGCCAGCCTGCCGCCCCCACCCCCATTTGGGACTCACCCCCCTTAGGGTCTGAAGCAGCTGTCTCTGGGAGCTTTGAGGGAGGGGCTGCAGCTGGCACCTCACCCCTCAAAAACCAGTGCAGCTGCCCCTAAGCTAACCTACCTCATTCTGCTGCTCGCCCCCTGGGGAGGGACTCAGCCGTATCCCAGGCTACCCAGGACTGTCCTGTGGGCTGCAGCCAGCCCAGTAAATGGTACTTCCCAACGCGGCTGTCCTGTTCCTCCTTCCCAAGGTACTGGGGTCTGGGCTGCTCTGAACAGCGGTGGATAGAGATCTGGGCCCCACCTCCCAGGGCCTGGGTGGGGGCCTAAAAGATCAGGCTGTGGGGGAGCCAAGCAGGAGGGGACTGAGTCTGCCAGCTATCCTACCGGGGGCCTCTTAATTTCATCAACCTGCTTCTCTCTGACTGGCTCCACACCTGGTGATGGGGACAGCTATGAGAATGACACTGCAACAGGGTCCCTGCACCTCGGTCCGCAGAAGGAAGCAGATAGTTAAGGTTCAGATCTTGGTTCTGCATCTTAACTTCTCTGTGCCTCAGTTACTTTATCTGTGAAATGGAATGACAGTGATTACCACTTCATATGTCCTTATGAGATGGTGTAACTATGGAGGTTAGCCCCGAAGTCTAGCACATAGTAAGGACTCAATAAACGTTAGCTTTGATAAATTTTAGTTGGAGGAGAGGGGCAACCAAATCTCCCTGGACATCAGGGAGACCTTCCTGGAGGGGGTGACATGGCAGAAGGATGAGCGAGAGATAACCAGGGGGCAAGGAGGGAGTGTTGCAGGCCAGAGGAAGAGAAGGTTCCAGAGCAGGTGGGGTAGGGAGGGGAGGAAGGCAGGGCTCAGCCCTGAGACTCCGTCCTGAGTCCACTTTCCTGTTGGCAATGACCCTGTGGGTACCTGAGGACAGAGGGGCCAGCTCTCCTCTGCTCTTACCCGCACGCCCCACTTCAGGTTCCCAGGTTGTGGGAGCCATCGGGGTGGGGTGGGAGAGAAGCTGTCCTCTGAGCCTTTCTTTTGGAATCTTCCTCTTTCTCCCCAGAGAAAGCAAGGAGCTGAGCAAGGGGACACAAGCCTCCCTAGTGCAGGTCGGGGGTTGGGGGGGGGGCATGGCCCAGTTTGGTGCCACAGGCATTTATGGAGCGCGGTCCTACACACTTGGCCCTTGCTGTGCTGGGAGTATGGGATAGGGTGAACCAGCTCTGGTCCATGCCCTTAAGGGCAGAACTTGCCGGGCCCTGGTGGAAAGGGGTGTTACCAGAAGGTACAAAGTGTCATTGGAATGAGGAGACTCAACCAGGGAAGGCTTCACAGAGGGGGGGCCCTGGAGCTGAATGTTGAAAGCAGAGGGAAGGGAGTGTGCAGAGTCCTGGAGTGGGAGTCTGGGCTGCTCCCGAGGCCGGGTTGGGGCAGGGCCAGCCTGGTGGCTCACAGGAGGAGGCTGGGTTTGGTTGGGAGAAGAGAAAGGGAGTTGGGGCTGGGAAGACCAGGGACAGGGCACCTTAAGGCTCAGGTGGGCAGTGAGGGCAAGAAGGGCTAGTCTCACCCAGCCCTGCCTGGGGTGTGCCCGTGAAGCCGTGAGTAACCTGGCGTGCATCTGACGTTTGTTGAGCACTTGCTGTGTGCAGGGCTGGGCTGAAGCCCCTGAGGTAGGTGCAATTATGGCCATTTAACAGATGGAAAAACAAGCTTTGAGGAATTTAGTAACTTCCTAAGGTCGCCCAGCTGTTTTAACCATATTAGGTCCTCAGCTGCAGGGGTCGTCCCACCCCTGGTGGGGGTTGGGGGCCTTCACAGTACCCTCCCTCCCTGCCTCGGGGCTCGGGGGCAGCCCCACCCTGCTGGGCCCAGGCCCCCTTCCCACTATCCTGAGCAGTGACTTCCGCGAGCCGCTGGTCTGGCCAATGAAAGGTGCCCCAGGTCCCAGCTGGCTCTGGCCCAGGCCTGGTTCCAGGGCCCTTTGCCAGCCAGCTGTCTGGCTCCCAGGGTAGTGTCCTCGCTCGGTGATGCTAGTTATCTGGGAGGTGTCGCCCTCCCAGCCTGAAGACCTGGGGCTCAGTATAGCAGCACGAACCCCTGAAAGAGTTGGGTGGTGGGGGAGAGATGAAGGATCAGAGCTCTGCCCTGGGAAACCCTTCTCGGACGGGCGATAGCGCCCCTCCCTCAGGAAGCCCATCGACGGGGAGGCGCGGCCCCCGCCCTGGGGAGCGCCCGGCTGATGGAGAACATGGTTACGTTCTGGGCACGAGATGTGCTTGCAGGCTCGGGCCCAGCACCCCCCCCAGGTTCCTCCCCCCGCGGAAGGGCCAGTCTGATGGGCTCCACGCTTGCTGGGGGTGGGGCCCCTGGGTGAACGTCCGCAGCTGGATTTCCTCTCACCTGGGCTCACGCCTCCGGCCTCTTGCTGCGGGCGGGGGTGGTAGGCTGCGTCTCCGGGTGTGGCTAACTCTTGAATGAGATGCTGGGTATGAAAATGCCTTGCACAGTACCCGGCCCCATGGTCCCACGTCTTGGGGAGTGAAGGGGACAGGAACAGCTTGCTGGCAGGCAGGTGGCATTCTGCAGAAAGCAGAAGGACCGATCCTGTGGCCCCATCTCCAGCACCCGGCCCCGGCCCCTCCCAGCCTGGGGTTCCCCTTGGTTATTTAGGGAACCTGAGATTTCCGAAGCCACAGCTTAGACAACATGGCCTTCAGTGCCCAAAGCTGAGAAAGGGGAGGAATACACAACTTGGCCCTCTCTTCACCCCTTCTCCTGTCTGACTTGGCTTTCACCAGGGCCACATGGCAGGACCCCAGAGGTCCCTGGTAAAGAGCCAGGGGCTGAGTCCCAGATGTCCCAGCACTAACCCAGTCAGCTCAGTGTCAGCCCTGCGGCGGGGAGTGGGGATGGCCTTTTGCTTCAGATTAACTCAATTCAGCTAACAACTACTGACCAGGTCCCCGGCCCTGTGACAGCCGAGGACACAGCCACCCCCCAGCACATGTAATTGAGGAGTACTCCCCCACCCACACCAGGCAGTATGGGCAGTGACTTCTCTCCTGGTCACCATCATGTCCCCAGGACACACAAGGTGCTCCACAAATGTTTGGTGAAGGGGGAGCGAGTGAGGTGAATGCCTGGAACAGTCCCTGCAGGAACCCTCGTCAGCCAGGGAGACAGCATGGAACCCCAAGCGCGGGACTTGGATTCGTACGCTCTGAGCGGCGCACTGGCTGAGGGTTATCGCTCAATAAGGCTAGCTGAAAAAACAACTGGGAAGTCGTAGGCAGTAAGGATGTATTACTGTCTTGCAGCACTTCTCAGGCTGTCACTACCAAGTCCTCTGAATGCCTAATGGGCATGAGAACTGGTAGAGGATTCCATTCACCAGACCGCGGTCTCAACCTTCCTCATCTCATGGCACGGAAACTAGTCACTAGAATTCTGGGGCACACCAAAAAACATATTTTTTGCCTATCTGACAAAAAAAAAAAAAAAATAGGTAAATTTCGATTCATTGACATGGGACGGCTATTGTGTCGGCTGCTGCCATGTTTTTATTTGACAGCCTAAGGGAAAAGACGCCAGTGCCCCGGCTAAACAATCCGGAATCGCATGTGTTCAGAGTCCTTGCGGCCACCAGGTGAAAGTCGCTGCCCTAGACCAGAGGGAGACAGCGGCCTATGTGATGTGGCTTCATTCCACCTACTCCAAGCCGACCCTTTCACAAAGCAAGTGTCTATGGAGTAGTATTTTTAAAGACAGGAAATTAGGAAATAACTAAGAACAGAAAATAAAACCTTAAAAATACTGTACTGCTTCTAAATGTTTCAGAAATTTAATTTCTTTGTGAGTTTATATAAAACGTTTATAGTCTCGATTATGCCTTTTTTAAAAAGGTAATTGAACAATCTGAGAAGTGATACAAATTATAATGAAACTTTTTATAAAGAAAGACACCAACTAGTTATAAAAAGGAACCTGTTGAATGACTCACCTGCTTCCTAAAGGGCTGACAAATGAATTGCAAAGTCAGTGACAAAGCTCTCAAAGTATTTGTAGGAAGCAGATGCTTTGATTGATGTAACAAGGTGTGAGTAACCTGGTTTTCCTACTGAAGGTTTTACACATTTTAGTTCTATTGACAAAATAGAGATTTTTAACATTTAAATTCTAGAATATGTAATTTGTAACATTCATTTAACTTACAGTGTTTGGAATGAGATACTTTCTTACTAAATTTTAAAAGATCTTGCTATAGAGGCTTAAAAACAAACACTTGCCAAGGAACAGATTCTCTCTTGGCCGCCTGCTTACTGTTAAGTGGAGGAGACGTTGTCTGCCTCGTTGGCTTGTGAGGGTTCAGTGCCAGTGCCGACCCCCAGCCCCAGCGACTGGTGCTCAGCACAGGCTCCCTCTCCCCTCCGGCCACTTTAGGGCCCACTGGTTACCAAGAGCCGAAGTGCACTCAGTAAGCCACAGGCAGGCTGTGGGGCTCTGAAGGAGGGAAAAGGTGAACCGTGGGCATCTGGGACAGCGCCAGGCTGCTCCAGGGCTCTCAGGAGCAGGAAACCTTCGAAGCGGCAATGAAACAGTTCCGATCAGTCTCGAGAAAGAGTATCTGAATTGGCTTAGCGTGGGCCATGCAAGGGGGAGAGGGAAGGCCATGACTGCCGGGCACCGGGCTGCAAGGAGGGGTGGCACCAAGCAGAAGGGCGGGCCTTGGGGCCAAGTCCACAATGCCTGCTCCACCCCACCGTTGGCGAAGGGTCCCACTGGCTGCCCTGCCACACAGCGGCTGCTAGGTCAATGCTGTGAATGAATGAGAGTTTGGAGATGGAATCTTGGAATTTGGGGCCCCAGAGGGACCTCAGGAAGAACTCCAGGGGCTGACTTGTCAAGACCACAGCAGGGGGACAATGGAAGGGCCTTGGGGAGACAGGGAATGCCGGGGTTACCTACCTGAGCCCTCACACCTGGAGAGATGAAGACCATCGCTAGTCCCAGGGCGCCAGGGGAGTTTGTGCAGAGTCCAGACCAGAAGGCCAGCTCCTTTCCAGACCAGGGCTCCTGCCACCCCACCTCACCAAGGCTGCCTCCTGTTAACGGGCACCTCAAGCAGCATCTAGTGAGCCCATGGGGGTGGGGGGGATGCCCTAATGCTGCCGAACCCCGAGTCTGCCATCTGCAGCTTGTGGACCCAGAGGGCTAGTCAACCATCCAGTGCTCCTTTGTGCCATTTCCTTTGTCTCCCTTCCCTCCTTAGGAGTGCGAGAGGGGCCCTGCCTGCCTGCCTCCAGGCAGAGAGGAGTGGCTGGGAGGTGGCCTTGAGCCAGGCTACAATCCTTTTGCCACTTGCTTTTCCCCTCACCTAAGAATCCTGGCATCAGAGCCCATTGTTCCCAATCTCACCAGCCTGACAGCACCAAAAAATGAGCAGCGATGGCTCCCATGGAAGATTCTAGAAAGCAGAGTAAGATCAGGCCTGGCATACACTGCAGTCACAATTTCTGGGTTTCAAGTGTTATTTCTGGTCACAGGACTGAACACCTAATCAAAACGAAAATCATTCACTCGGCACCTTGTGTATGCCAGGCAGTCTACCACCCCCCACGAGGTTGTCACCCCCATCCCCACATAAGGAAGTGCCTCTGGGCCCACCCCACCCAGGGTCACACAGCTGCGACACGCCGAGGTGTATGTCCAGAGCCTTCCTTCTCTCCAGACTCGTTTTCCCCACCGGGCACTCGAAAGAGACCAAGTGCAGGAGTTTCTCCTATTTCCACCTCAATAAAGACGCCCCATCTGGAACTTTCTCTTCAGACCAAGCAGAGCAAAGCCAGGACCAGGAGCCAGGGTCAGGGGTGTCAAGGACCCAGGCACCTCAAGCCAGAGGGGACAGCCAGGATGTGGGCCCTGCTGACTGGCCCATGGCCTCTGCAGCTCTGAGGCCTTAGGCGCGTTACCCGTTTCCTCACATCGCCAAGCGCCGTGGAGCCTCCCAAGGCAGGCGTGTGCTAAGCTGGAAGGAAAGCCAGGGGCAGAGGGCAGCCCGGGGACCTCCCACTTCACGGCCTGGCGCCTCGGGAGGGTGGCGCTGGGGTCCCCGTGGAGGGAGGACCGAGCCCTTCTCACAGCCGAGGCCGCGCACGCCAGGGGAGTGAGGCAGCCGGGAAAGAACACGAGGCCAGTGCTAACTGTCCCAGTTTCTTTTATTTATTTTTTTGTTCTTTTTTTCCTTTTTTTTAAGTATGGAAGCTCAAGTATAAGATGTAGATTTTTTTTAAGCTTTACAAAAAAAACAAAATAAAACAAAAAACTCCTTTTGCATTCCATAAAAATTGACAGAAAAGCACCTGGCCAGAGAGCAGAACGGTGGGCAGGCCCCACCCCTGCACCCCACAACGTGGTCTCCGTGGGACAGGGGCCAGCCGGCGAGGACCATGCTGAGGGCCACCTCTCCTTTCTCCCAGAGCTGTCCCCTGCCCCCCACCCCAACCCCAAGCAACTCCCAAACACACGTGGAATCGGATTTCCAGTTTTTCTTCTATCTTTCACACACCACAGTTATTTCATAAAATTTTTTTGTTTTACATTTTTTACACCAATGTAACAAAAAGGTGGGAAGGAAGGGGAGGAAGACAGACAGTGTATTTTATGCCTATAAATGGGTGGGTGGGGGGACGGGGCTGGGCAAACAAAACACACATGGTCTCTATGGAAACACTGAGTTTTGATAGCAAAACGTGGTGGGAAGCAGGCCTTGGAGACGGAGAAGGGTGTTTAGCGGCTTTATTCTCAGGGTGTGATGGTGCTGTGCAGGTCGGTGACGCAAGTTGTTGTGACCTGTTGGGGAGGGAAGGGAGAGGGGAGGGGAGCAGAAAACGAGTTTTCTAAGAAAGGAACCTAACGAGTGCATGGCATGTCCGGGTAGCGTGAAGCAGAGGTTTAACATTGCTGCTTTCTCTTCAAAGCCTCCACCAGGTCGTTCTTAAGAGCTTCTTGTTTTGATTTGTCTGCAAAAGTCTGCACAGACCTGCCAGGGAGGGAAAGAATTTATTAGCAGGTTTCACAGGAAGGGGTGAGGGTCTGGGTCACTGGGCGGGGCGGCGCCAGGCCTCCCTCGAGGTGAGGGCAGTGCCAGCGAGGCTTGGAGAGAGCACAGAGCCCAAGACCCATACCCTCAGCACAGCGCCGGGCACCTCGGGAGGCACATGGCCCACCTGGACAAATGCTCAGCTCTGCACCGGGCTGGGTGACTTGGCCACAGCTGTCAGGACCCTAGTCCACTCCTCTGGGCACAGGTCCCAACGCAGCAAACACCCTCAGTGCTTCAGACCAGCTGCCAATTCAGGTCAGAGCTGAGGCAACGACTCTGGGCCATGAGGACCCCGCTACAAAGCTTCACCCTCACTGCGCCCTGCCCAGCAGAGGCTCGCTGCTCACCCATGAGTGCAGGGTGCCCAGCACCCCACGCGCAGTGAGGGTTTAAGAATCAGCAGCCCGGACATCTGAGCACACTGGGGCCACGGCCACGGTAGGATATGAAGGACGGGTGCTTTTAGGCTTTTGCTATGAGGCTCCACCAGCTGTTAACTTGGCCAAGAGAGCCCCTCAGCCTGGATCTCGAGAGGCAGCATGAAACTGAGGCAAGTGGCCCTGGGCCCTGCTGTCAAGTCCTGGGTTTGTGAGAATGGTACCAGGAGAGCACTCACGCACAGCAGTAACACTGACAAAGTGCTTCCACACACTTCTCTCCTGTAACGCCCACAGCATCCTGGAGGAGACCTAGTGTTACTACCCCCAGTTTATAGATACGGAAACTGAGGCTCAGAGAAATGCCCTTGGCAATGACCCGAATGGTCGCCCTGTCCAGTTTACCCAATGTGTTGGTTAACCAAGAACTTGTTTTACTGATAAACTTAATCGTTTCGAAGCAGTGGAAAGGGCGGGCACTGCCTCTCAGGATCACTGTGGACGGCGTGCGCCCCCGGGGAAAATGACGGAAGGCGGGACCAAAATACTCCAAAGGCCTGAAATGGTTGAAGGGAGATGAAGTACAGCCCAGGAGAAAGAGCAGCATCCTGAGGTGAATGCTGGCTCTGAATCCCGGAAAAACCACGGGCAGTATGCTCGCATCGGTGAGAGCGCGGACTGGAACGGCAAGATTTTTAAAGGATCTGTGTACAACTGAAAACAGGTCCATGAGAAATGCCGGCATTTTTGGTTGATGCTGCCAAAATACACATTTCTGATTATTTGCCCTAGACTGCCCGTCTCTGCGCCGACAAAGGGAGGATCAGACAGCAGCCATGGCGGCCCTCAGGCTCCAGTCTCAGCCGGTACACCACGGGCTTCTGGAAAAGCTCCCAACGGAGGTTAACACGACCATCAGGTTAACAGGAGGATGCAGGGGGCGAAGCAGCGGCTCACACGGTCCCCAGCCTGCCGGGTGCCAGCTCTTCTGGGAAGGAGCCAAGCACGCCAAGCCCCACCCCACAAAGAAAGTTTCAGTTAGAACCAGAGTTAGAACCAGGTAAGAGACAGGTTAGGCTTGGAACAGCTGGAGGTGTAAGGAGCAGGGCATTCATTCAGGGGATAGAGCTTGGGAAGGTCACTGCCAAGCAACCTCGAACCAATGCCTGGAGGGACCACTAACAGTGTGGGAAGGAGTGTGTCTCCTGGACAGACAGTGGGTGTCAGGCTGCCCACCACTGCAGAGAGCTTCAATGCTGGGGATCCTTCAGTGGACACCAAGGCCAGGGACCCAGAAAATTCTAGACCCACCCTAAGAGCTGATGGCCGGGGCGAAAAACTGCACTATCATGGAACACATTAAAAAGGGGTTCTCTCAGCCCTGTGGTGGGAACAGGATGGTCCCAACGTGAGGCTGGGAGGCTGACAGAGGCCTTGGCCTGGAGCTGCTGCGCACACAGTCCAGATCACCACACTGCAGCCCCACAGACACAGAAGAGTGGCTCCGCCTGGTTATGTAAGTGCCCCGCTCCACCCCACCCCGGAGATCCCACTGAGCCTCTTCTGGGTTGGGCCTTTAGTGTCCAGTCCCCAGCCTGGGGCTGAGCCCTTAAGCCCCGGCCCTGGGGCTCTGCCTGGCTGGGTTTTCAGATGCCTTATGTGAAAACCAGCGTCCCTCCTCCTCTCCAGGGATGCTGGCTGCTTTCATATTTGTCACAAGCTCAAGTCATGGTTCTCGGCCATTATCAACAAGCAAGGCTGTTTGCTTTTCCGTCAGCGTAAGGCGTTTAGAGGACAGCTGCAGCTCGTTAGGGGCGGAAGGTTATGGCCCAGGCGGCTCCAGCAGCAACCGGCCTCGGTGCATCGGGCCGGTCAGGAGGACTACAGCCCCCCCGTGCTCCGTCCTCAGACTCAGAGCAATAACCCCTTTCACGGCAGCTAGCCCCAACAGTCCATTTCCCACAAGAAGGGGACTAATTGGGCTTCAAGGATCCTTGGTGGAAAATTAGGGAGGGCCTGGTTGCACACAGAGCAGATTCTGGGAGACTGTCCTGAAGCGAATGGGTGAACAGAAGGCAGGACAGGGACCCTGGCTTTGTGGCCATCAAAGCTGCGCAGACCTGAGGTTTCTGTGGGAGGCAGAGCTGGTCACCTGGCCTGACTTCTACAGGAGCCAAAGCCAACCACCCATCCGCCCACACTCAAACCCCACCCAGAGTGCAACACACACACACATCGTACACACCTACGGGTCCATGTTACATGGGGCCAAGTCTACATGTTAATGTGACTGCTCATGGCCATGAGTGGATATGGGGGTTAGTGGTGGTTTAAGTGGCGGCAACAGCCAAACCAGTGGGGCTTGGCGGGTTGGTGAGTCCTGTTTAGTGGGAGGGCTATCGCCCTCTCAGGCAGGGTACCTGATCGGCCTAATTATCAGGCTGGATGTGGATCTGCCGCTGGGTCAGCACCTGGGAAAGCTCCCTCTGCAGCTGCTGAAACTTTGGGTTGTCAGGGATAACGTCAACAGATCTACAGAGAGTATTCAGAGATGAATGCAGCGGGAGGGGGAGGACAACACAGATCCAGGAGCACACGGGGGTACAGCTGAGAGGAGATACAGGGGACACACAGGGCGGAAGAAAGAGGGGAATGTCATCAAGGCCACTGCCACTCTGGGCTGCGGTGTGGAGGTCACAGTGTGGAGCCCTGCGCTGGGGTGGTCACGGCATCCCGGGCTCACCCCCCCCCACACAGGCTCTCTGCATGTATTTTCCAGCCATTGCCTGGGTTGACTGGGTGTGCTTGGTGTGGATGGGGGAGAGGAAGGCAATGTTGCCTGAAAGGGAGATGGGGGGATGAAATGTACCAGGGGCCAGACCAAGTTCCCCACGGGGGGGGGGAGGGGAATCCTCGCTATTTCGAAACTGTATGAGTAGTAGACTAAAAATCTATCTGCTGGACCAATTCACAAACCAGAGCAGCCCCCAGAGTGGCCCAAATGGAGAGATTTGTATGGGGGATTAGAGGGCTGGAAGTCAAGGGGGAACATGATCCCTTGGACTCAATGGCAGGCTGGGCTGCAGAGCACAGACTCCCTCTCATCCGATCCCTTCAGCAGCCCTGCCTCTCTGACTGGTCAGGGCCCCAAAGAGGAGTGGCTCGTCCAAGGCTGCACGGCTCTGGGTGACAGAGTATGATGAGATCCCAGCCTACACTGCCCCCCACAGGGCTCTGGTCTCCTGCTCTGCCACTGCAGTCCTCAGGGACCCAGAGCCCTCAGCCTTCACTTGGCAGACACTGGACACTGCAGAACCAAGGGCCCGGATGGGTGGGAGGGCAGCTCAGGACCCTGGCGACAGCCTACAGAGCCCTGGCATTGGACATCAGAGTGGCTGGGGACCCTCTCTGGAAAGCAGCAGGGTGAAGAGGCCCTTTCTGTGGGACACTCTCTGCAGCCCAGAAACCCAGCCAACGAGAGGCCAGGCCACCTGGAGGGCTGTACCCTCTCACGTGTCTTGGGGTCTGGTTTCGAGGTACCTGCAGTCCCGAGCTAAAGAGGCTGGGCATGTTCTTTACATGAGACTGACACCTGAGAGCCGAGGAGGCCGACTTCCTGGATGAGGGCATTGGTGGCTGTTAAGGGGAACGTCCCCCATATGCCCAAGTGGAGGTAGGAACCAGCCTTACTGAGAATAAAACATGTGCAAGGTGCCTTCCCTTTCCAAGCCTGCACAACAGTTCTGCAAGGTGGGTACTTTAGCGCCAGTTCACAAATGAGGCTCAGGCACACAGCCATGTATCCCTTTGGTTTCCAAAGCTTGTACTTTTGGGTACATTACCTCAGCCCATTGACGATGTCCTTTGTTTTTCCAAAGTAGATCTCATTCAGCGTACTTCTGATTTTGTTTTCCATGTCCTGGGGAGGGAGGTCAGTCAGACATGACCACAAACAGTTGGGAGTCCCGAGGTCCACACCCTCCCACCAGCTCACCCCGGCAGTCTCCGCTGTGACCACAGGGGGGAGGCACACGACTGCACAGAAGCCTGGTGAGTAAGCCTCTGGCAGCGACCAAGACCCCACCTACCATTTGTGCGCTTTTCCGTCCACAGGCACATAGGAAGCCAATACCCAGGTACTGTGGCCAACACTGGCCATTACTGGGAGCTGGTCTAAACCACATCATCATCTCCTCGGCCTTCCACCAATTTTGTGAACAATTCTGTGAAACCAGAGAGCACCACCACCCCTTCTTCCAAACAGCGTGGCAAAGGGGACCCAGCGGCAAGTGAAGTTCCTCCAGAGCCACTGGAGTTCCAGGGACCTGCTTCCTTGTAGGCTCAGGTCTCCGCTCGCTGGAGTAGACAGAGCTTAGGGCTTCCCAAGCACAGCCTTCTGGGAGCATGTGTTTGGGTGATGGTGGAGGGGACACCCTAGCTGTGCCCTGCTTGCACCCAGATCACAAGCTCAGAAAACACGAGGCGAGGGCAAAACATGAGAGATGTGCCACTGGCTGCCACGGAATTAGAAACAGTGAGGGAGAAGGCCAGCAAGCTGACAAACAGGCTCCAGGGGCAAAATGTCAGACGTTGTGGAAGCAAACCACAGCCACAGGAGCGAGCCCAAGCCCCAAAGGCCCACTCACCTCTACCAGGCGCCCGATATTGGCTATGTGTGGCGAGGAGTCACTCACAGTTTCATCTTTCTCCATCTGCAAACGACAGACATTCCTCTGTCAGGAGGGTTAGAGAGCCGACCCCCCACTGTTCGCAAAGACCTTGTTATCCCTGCTGGCAGCTTGGAGCCAGCAGCAGGTGGCACAAGGCCACTTCCCGAGAGGGGGACCCAAGCACAAAATGACCTAGGTTTCAGGTCACAAACAGCTCAGCCGACAAAAGCCCAGAGTCCCTATTTCCAAGGAGAGTTGTGCTGCCGCCCTTGGTGGGACAGTCACCCCATGAAGCCCACAGCAGAGAGGGCAAAGGTGACACCCCGTCAGGCACTGACTGGCTCATTCAGGGCCCACCAGAGATGCACTCGGGCTGTCTCCATTCCATTGCTCGAAAGCAGGTGCAGGCACACCAAAGGCTTCCTGTCCCCAGTCCTGAGCTCCCAAAACCCCTACAATGGCAGTCACGGAGGGAGGGGGACAACCCTGAGCAACAGGAGACTCCTGGGCCCAGACAGATGATGTGACCTGCCCAATGTCACAGAAGTAGTAAGGACAGAACCTGAATCCAACCCTTTTTTTCTGTTCCATGAAGGTGAGTGATGTGGGGAATTTGAGCAAGAGAATCTCAACCCAGATTCCTAGGGTATATCCTAGGGACACCGTGGAGTGAGAATTGGGAGGAGGAATTTGAATCTCTGGCAGAATCCGCTCTGGCCCAATAATCAAAACTAGGAGTATTAAAAGGGAAGGAGGTAGGGAGGGAAGAAAGAACTGAGGATTCCTGACATGAGCACTTACTCATGAACTGTGGATTTCTTCCCACTTTCTTCCTATGTTTAAGGCTTATTTTCCTCACAAGATTATAAATTCCTTAAGGAGAGCTTTACCGGTTTTATACCTCATAGGGTGCAAGCACATGAACAGTTACTAAACTGAAAATAAGAACACGTAGCTACCACTACCACTGTTGATATAAAACATGGAAGCTGAGATAGGTCATCAAGAAACGGGGGGAAACATAAGAACAGAATCAGGAAGGCTAGAGCTCAGAATGAATTCAGATTAGTATAAAAGCAAAGCAAAGGCAGGGAGCTCACTATTTCAGCTTCCATGTTTTATA